TGTTAGGTCGATAATTAATAGGTCCCCGATATTGAGATCTAGGACCTATCTAGTACATAAGCTTCCAAGTCTTTGACTCTTAAGAAAAAAGTTCAATGTACTATTGGCAAAAAAAAATTTATTTCTCGCCTTTAGATTTTGAAATTGTCACCTTTTAGATACATTGTTATTTTAGTAGTTGCATCAAGTGGAATGATGGCATGTTGATGCATTAAGAAATTTCTGAAAGCGTAGATGTCCTCAAGAATGTGAAAGGTCGTGTCCATTCCCATTAATTCTTGGAGAGATCTAACAAACTAGAGAAGTGTGATGCATTTTCTCCCAAAGCTCTTCACGTCTATAAATTGTGTCCTTTAGTCCCCATAATGATTCACCTACAACCTCTACCTTCCAAACACTTTGAGCATTTACTACTCCAACCCCCTTAGAATATCCAAAATTGATCCAAGTACCGATCAGGTATGCCTCCTCTCCTATCTTTTTATGAATTTTTCTAGTAATAGTGTAGAATCTCCTTTCCTAGGCGAAATGGACGTAAATGTTATCTTTAGATCTTCTACCTCTTCATTTGAAAACTCTAACCTTTCTTCCTCTATTACTTTTACTACCCCTAGTGCCTTGGGAACTGCCATTAGTGCAAATCATCCCTAATTGACTGTCGAGGTGCCCCAAGTTGTCAAAGATGACCAGCTTGAAATGAAGTTTATGGTTTAGGATTTAGTATTTAAGGTTTAGGGTTTAGAGTTTGTTGATATGCTTCTTAAATAGTATTGATGAAGCTTTATTGATCTGCTTCCTAAAGAGTACCAACATCATACAATTTGGGTGTGGAGACTTTATAGAGGCTCAAAGACCCTTAAAGGAAGAGAAGGTATGCCGAGAAGCCGATGATGATGAGGCATGCTTCTTTTTCATGTACAAGTACCACTTCAAACCTTTAAATGACTAAATTCCCTTGGAAACTTTCTTTGACAGAGTTCTATCAATCCTCAACGTAGTTCCTACACAACTTTATCCTAACAGTTGGACTCTCTTGCAAGCATTTTGATTCAATGGCTCCCCCTATTTTTTTGCACTTCTATGAAATCAAACCCGATAACATGTCTGAATGGTTGTCCTTGATCAATCATGGGCATAGGGTCTTATTTGAATCTTACATCACCTTCTACAAGAAGATCAAGGTTGGGTCCTTCAAGATTTTGACCTTGAGGACACGACTCTAAAACTCCATTTCTATTGGACCTTAGCTTCAAGGATTACTCAAACTCGATAGCTTCAAGGATGGGTCCATTTCTATTGTCGAGAGTGATGATCTTAGTACTTATTTATGACTGCTTGATTAAACATTTCATCTTAGAATTTTGTTGCCTAAGGAGTGTCAACTCCTCCTCGTTCCTTTTTTGTTCTTTTTTGCTCTGCTTACGCCATTGTTGTAGCTTTTTTTTGTAATATTTTCAATACACGATCACCATTGGCCATATCTAGGTTCTTGCTTGGTGATCTGCTTATTTCTACCATCTGTTTGTCAATAGAAACCGTAGGAATAGTTTTCTACAACCACACAGTGGACGCCAAATGTACTTGTTGAGAAAAGTATTTGTCCTCATACAAAGTCTTTAATCTTCGATTCTCGATCTTTAGTTTTTGGATCGATAGTTGTACCTACAAAAGAGACTTCAATGCTAAAGTAAGCAGGTGTTTAAAGAGTACTTGATGTTTCAAGAATGAACATACCTTTTGAAGGTGAAACACAGGTGTGGGTGTGTGTTTGTGTGTGTGTATATAGGAGTGAAAATGTTACCGTTAGTCAAAAGGACATTTAATTGCATTCAAGACCCTTTATTGTCGTATAACAGATGAACGTTACAATCTACCACTCACAAGGGAATGTTTTTGGTAGACCGGTGACTGCTCAACTTTGGGGAATATTTTGTTCGATTAGGCAAGTAGTCTGTTTCTTGCTATGTAGTCATGGTGGAATTCTTATGTTGTTAGGTCAAGAATTGATAGATCCTCGTTATTGAGGTCTATGACCTATCTAGTACACCCACAAATAACTATTGTAGTTGCTTTTGTTATTATAATTGAGTTTCTATTGTGAAACTATTGAATTTAATTATGTTTAGAATGTATCTGTGAGTTTTTTTTAATAAAAATCCTATTATTAGTTTATTCAAAACTTATATCAAGTTAACTGATTTAAATTCGAAGAACAAACTTTGTGGAATTATGAAAATGTGTTGTGAATATTTTTAGATGTTTTGAAAGTACGGTTTGTGTTTGGATGAAGGATTTAAAATCAGTAGTTTAATTTTTATAATAATTTTAAATGTTTCATTTAGATGAAAAATTTATAAAAAATTTGAAATTTAAGTATTTATGAAAATTTTTAAAAATTTTAAAATTTCAAAATTTTTTCTAAAAAATATAAGAATTTGAAAATTTTCATTTTTTTTAAGACCTCACTTTTATATCTTTTATCTCTTTATCCTTCCTACCTTTTCTCTCATTCTCTCTCTCTCCTCTCTCATTGTCTTCTTTTTCTTTTTCCTCGAAGACCTTTCTCTTTTTCTGTGACACGCTTACTACCCCAACACATATATTGTAATAAAATAGACTAAGGAAATAAAATTTTCAATCGTCGGTAAAAGGGTTCACATAAAAACCTTCACAAATATTCTTCAATATCCAAGATAATTGAAAATAAATAAATTAGAAAATGAAACATAAGAGTTTACAAAATAATAAATACAACTCCAAATCTATATAAAAATTCATGTCCTAGAAATCCTCTGCCCCGATGTCACAATATCAAAGCATACCCACAATTCAACCGTTGGCATTCTAGATGCCACTCATAGCCGAATCTCCTTCACCTAAAACATCCACAATTGCACGGTGAGAAAAGAAAACATCTATATGTAAAGCACACAAGGAAAAACACAACATAATCTCATCAATTAATGAAGTCTTTACAAGCATATCCATACATTCTAATTCTATCAATCATGCATCATATTCACATCACAATTTCACAATCACACCAGTCTATCACAAATCTTGCAATTAACACTATGCCAATGCTAGCTCACACCACCTCAAGGTCATGCCACTCTAGACACAAGTGATACGTATTAATTGCCTCACTCACCCCACACTATGCCAGGGGCACGCCATCCCTGTAGCATCACTTACCTAGGGTCGTCTCATTCCTGGTCATATGTGGGAGGAACACAATCACATCACAATCATAATCATCACAAATCTTACTATGTCAAGGTCATGCTACCCTTCAGCCTAGGGTTGTGCTCACCCCTAACATCACACTGTGTCAAGGTCACCCTACCCTTTTAGTAGCCTAGGGCCATTCTCACCCCTGACATAACACTATGCCAAGGTCACGCTACCCTTTTAACAGTCTAGGGTCGTGCTCACCCCTGGTCATCAATATGAGGATCCACAACCACATCTCATTCACATTCCACACATCTCATTTCATAACTCAAATTCATATCACATACACAATTCCATATCACATACACAATAGATAAGTCCAACAAAATAAGGGTTTACACACCCCTCAAGCAATTCACATCTAGATCATCAATTCTTATCAAGTAATATAATAATAACATTCATAAATTAATATAATAATCAATGGAATTACCAATTTAATATAATCTTAACATAAACGGTAAAACCCCCAATTATTCCAAAACCTAACTTACAAGCACTTTTTTACAATTTCTTTCTCTCTCCCAAATCATCATTCTTACAAATTAAATATATATTCATAATCCTAAATACATACAGAATCATATAAGACCAATAATTCTCCAAATAGAAATAATTATAAAATTACTCATAATCTTACAAGCTTCCTCTTCTACCCAATTTCCTCATGTAACTTTGCATACAAATAATCTTCTTTTCCCCCGTACCTGGATAAACAGTAGCTGAAACTAAAATAGAGATCTCCTTGGTCTCCTCCTCTGAGTGGCCCTCGACCTTCAGAGAGTGTAGAAGGAAAAGAAGAAAATGTAGAAGAAAGAAGTCAGAATTGAAAGAAGTCAGAACTAAAAGGTGTGATTTTTGGGAGTGTCAGAACTCTCTATTTATAGGCATCAAGCATCGCCGGAACAACCCGTTTCAAATCTGGAACGGCCCGTTCTAGACTCTAACAACATGTGTAAAATGCACATCCAGAATGGCCTGTTCTCGAACCAGAACGGCCCGTTCTGGGGTTGCACTTAACCCACAACGACCATATCTGGACAGGCCCATTCTCAATTAGGGTTATAAGCATTTTCGGTGATTTGGAACGCCCTGTTTCCATCTAGAACTTGTAAACAATTTTTGTATTTTGGAACGGCCCGTTCTAAACAACAAAATCACTCTCGTTTTAGTAGTTTGGAACGGTCCGTTCCAATTTGAGAACGGCCTGTTCTAGACTACTAAATCACCCCTATTGGACCTTTGGGCCCTCAAATAATTTGTGAAAATCGGGATGTTACATTTTCAATGTCAACTTAAAAAATACTAATATTTTTTTGTTAATTACTGAATATTCAATTTTTTAAAATTAATAAATAACGTCTAATTTTTTAAAAAATTATTAATGTTTGAAAATTGGCTGCTATTTATTTTTTAAAGTTTAATTTTAAAATTTCAATATATATATATATACATATTTAAAATAAATTCTTCCTATAATGTAAACTAAATTTCCTTAAGAATTTAAAATTTAATAAATTTAAATTAATTCGTTGATAAAAATATTTAATAAATAATGGAAATTGAAATTAAAATAATTCTTTTTTTTTTAATTTTAGAAATTTCCATCGAAACACATCTTTTAAAGTATAAAGTTTTTCAAGTTATGAATTATTTAAATTTTTTTAGTATAAATAAAATGAATCGGTTAAAATAGTTATCCAATTTCTGCTTACTATTTTTTGTTGAGTTTGATTTTCAAAGAATTTAAAAATCCAAACTGAAAACCTATTTGATGCAACCCGTTTAGCCGAAACCAACCCAAATGCGGCCGAAAGCAAATTTAGTTTTCGGAATTGTCAGATCCAATGGATCATGCTATTATGCTATTCTCTAATTGGAGGCGCCTCCGAAAGTGCAACCTTGAAGTCATCAAAATCTTATAATCCGACATCTGGAATTTAAATTTCTCAACAAGGGCATCAGATCCACAATCGGTTAACTGCATCTCCAATGATCTTCTACTTTGAACGCTTTTCTGAAGGTGACAAACTAAAGTATTTATTTTCCCTGAATTTGCCAATGAAACCAAAGGATCTCTAAGCCCAGTTCCATTTCAGAATGTTAATATATCAAGGTTTTCGTTTCAAATGCTCTTGTTGAGAATTTTAAATTTTGGATGTCAGATTATAAAACATAGGTGACTTCAAAATGATAGATACACACAGCCATGAATAACAACTTGCAGATCGGCACGTAAGCATATATAACACTTTTTGTCCTTGAGTTTATTATTTTCTTGCTAGCACTGAAATACAAGTCGTGACTCGTGAGAGGATGGAGTGGACCACAAAGGTTTGGAGCAATGGCCACAAAGTTTAGTCTATTTTTTATTCTTGTTTAGTTACAAATTTCCGTCATCAAGGAGTGATTCATATATGGTATATTTCCTGAAAGCCTAATATATATTGTAATCATGTTTTCCTTAGATATTTTACTTTTATCGCTCTACCTAATATATTGGGTAGTTTTATAGATTAGGTAATGACAGAATTAAAACAAATTAATGACCATTGTGGGCAAGTTAGACTCCTTGATTTTGTTTCTATCCAGTACCATGGTACAGTGATTATAATCAACAATGACCCTTATCGACAAGTTAGGTTCCATGAGTTTGTCCTTTGTTTTCTTTTAGGCCACTTAATGTTAGTTATAAATGGTGATGGTACTTCACCAAACATATAGTTCAATTATTTGTTTGGCTTATTTGAGAAACACTTGATTCCTTATATAATATTTCAAAATGGCCATTTATCTAGGGAGGATTTGAACTTCTCACTTTATATGATTGCATTTGTTCTTATGATCTTATTCTGAGGATAAAAGTTGGAATCCATAATCAATCTATCTTGTCAGGGATATTGCTGCTTCTTTGAAGAACTAGTTGCTGCCTGTTTATAATAGGAAAATTGCACCAAACAGAGACAAGTACTACCACATTAAACACCTGATCATGTTGTATTAGATGGTGTGATGAGAAGAAGCAACAACAGGCCTCTACCCACACTCTTTGTATATTCAGTGGTTTGTTATGTTCCTACTTCTTACCTTTTACTAGAAAGGTTGTGGTTCCTTGAATCCATGATGCGTTTACCAGAGTCCACAGAGAAAGGAATAAAATCGAAGTTTATAGTCATATATTGTGATTTTGGTCCTCCTGAAATGAACAGTTTAAAGTTAGTTATCTTTGTATCCAACCTGAATAGAATTAGCCAGAATAATTCCAACAACGGGATGCTGCTGCACCAAGTTGTATCCCAAGATTTAACGCGACAGCATACACAAGACAGGATTTGAACCCCTGACTTTGCTTAAAGGTGGATTAACCCCTACCGCTGAACCACACGCTTGAAGTTGTCCTTCATAGTTTAGTATTGAGTAAGACTTTATATGATTTATACTTTCCAACTCAAAAATTTTACTTATTTTCATTAAATAAATAACTAATAGTGTATTTGGATCACAAATTTTTATAGAGTAATTATTTTTTTAAGAATTTAAAATATTTTGAAATGAAATATTTTGTTTAAATAAAAAAATTATAAATAATTAATATTTTAGTTTGTACAATATACAAACATCTTTATTATATATATAACTAAATTTTAATAAATTATATATGTAGATAAATATTATATTTAAATATATAAATTATATTTAATATTTGAATAAATAAATAATTTTAAATATATAAATTATATTTTAAATTCATGATAAATAATTTATATTATAGTAAAAAATTTATTTTTATTATTGATAATTTTTAAATATTAATATTTACTTCATAAATGATTTTAATAAATAAAAATTGAATTATATAAGAAGTTAAAAGAATCTCTACAATTTTTTTTATTTGAAGAAAAACTCCTAAAAACACTTTTGTGTGATTCATGTTAAATATATAAGAGTTGATTAGAAATTTAAGAATTTGAAATTCTTCATATTTTTTCTCTCTTTTTTCTCCTATCTCATTCTCCTCTCTTTCAATATTGACATAAAAATATCAATAATTTTTCTTAATAATTGGATATACAACTTTTTAACTTATTAAATATTTTCTTATATTAATTTTATTAATTATTAAAATTAAAAATATGCTAATGTTTACTTTTATAATTTTTTATTAAAAAATTTCAATATACATATATTGATTTATTTAAAATATTTATTCCTATGGTGCAAATTAAATTGTTCTATCCAAACTAGAAATTTAAAATTTTAAAACTTTGAATTGATTTATCCAAATAAAATATTTAATAAATAATAAAATATTAAAATTAAAATTTCAAAAATTTCAATTTTTTTGAATTTCTAAACCTCTTTATCCAAAAGATTTGCTAAAACTAAATTATTCCATAATTAAGGTGATAGTTGTCATTTAGCAATAGTTTGATCGTTACTGACATTAAAGTTGACAAGTACAACATTTCTTTTTTGAGAATTACCCTTCTTTTTACTTTCCATCTTTGAAGTTGTTAATTAACAAGTGAAATTATAGTTAGGTGTCACACAAACTTAGGTTTCAAGTTAATGACCATGCATGGACGTTGCTCAAGTGTGTTGCGTGCATAAAAAGATATAAGGCTCATGATAATATACCTTTTGGTTTTTATAAATAAAGAAATATATATATATATATATATATATATATATATATATAATCCTTTTTTTAAAAAGTTTCCTGAAATTTCCTTCTAATTAATTTCCTATTTTAAGTTTTATTTTAAAATTATCTTTTTCATTCATTCTTTCCTTCTTTCATTCTTTTTCTTCTAATTCATCTTTCTAGTCACTCTTTCTTGATTTTATTCTTTTTTAATTTTAATTCTTGATTTTTTTCTTTTTAACAATCAAGACAGTCATATCTTATCTTTGTATTTTTTAAATTCTATTTTTTTTACTTTTAACTCTATTGTTCTTTAAATTTAAATTATTCACTAAACCTTCATTGTTTTCTACATTCAGTACAAGGCATAAATTAATGTGTTAAATTACATTTTTGTTTTTAATTTTTTTGTAATTCATTTAATATTACTTATGCAAAACAAGAATAAATAGTGGGTTGAATTCTTTTGTGAGTTATATGTCGATAATGTATAAAGTGGATGATAGAGGCATTTCATTAAATTTATTTTTTTTTCATACTTCCAAAAAAAAATTTTCCAAAATTTTGGTTTTAGTATGTTAGAAAATACTTTTCGAAAGCATATAAAAAACACAATTCCAAAAAATACTTTTTCAAACACCAATTTCACTCTTTAGAAAATACTTTCCACAATACTAAAATTAATATTCTTAAATGTATTTTATGGAACATTAAATTTAATGTTTTTCGAAAGTGTAAAAAGGGAGAAAGTGCTTGGAGAAAAAAGCTCGTTTGGCTAAGGACTTTTGACATTGTCGAGGAAGTTGCACACACCTACAATGTCATTGCGTACTAATTCTACGACCCACGTGCGTGTAAATCTGAAAGAATGGAAGGAAAGGGTAAGAAACTAACAATGTGAAAATTGAAGGAGGAGGAGGGAAGAGAGTAACATGAAAACCGAAAGAATTAAAACTACTAATTAAAATAGGAGGAGGTAGGGGGAAGATAAGTGGGTTAGGGGTGTTCATCAGATCCAGTTTATCATATGAACCCGACAATTCTAACCAAACCAATTAAATTGGTTTTTAAAAAAAATTTGGTTCAGGTCCAACCCAAAACAAACCAATTAAATGTAATGCTGATTGATTTGGTTATCGAAGTTACACATTTAAGATCTGAACTAACACGAACCAAACCAATTAATTTATATATTATTTTATTATTTTTTATTTGGTTAACAATTAATGTATCATTTTGATTATTTTGAAGACCTTTTTGTGTTACAATATGTAGATTTTTTCATTCCTTTTGTCAAATACTTAAAGAAATCAAGAAGAACTATACTACAGTATATTGAGTGTCATTTTTACATTGTAGTGTATTTGAAATCTTTAAGTAGATTATTAAGAAAAGAAACCAATAGGAATTATATTGTAAATCTATCAATTTAATTAATTTATGACAATATAACAATTTAGTTAATGTTAGAAAATCTATTTACTTTTAGAATAAAAAATTATATTTTTAATTTAAATTTTTTAAAAGAATCATTAGATATCCAATGATCCAAATCGAGCCAACTCAATAAACATCGGATTGGTTTAATTTGGATTAAATAAAAAAAATGAAATCTAAATCAACTCAAACCAATTAAATTTAATTGGTTCAGACTGGATTTTTACCCAAATCCAAATCAACCCGACCCATGAACATCCCTAAAAGGGATGCATATGAAAATTGAAAGGGAGAGGTGTGTAGAAAAGAAAAAGAAAGTGTTAAATTAAATGTTGAAAGTATAAAACTAAAAAATTAGAAGAAAAAAAAGGATTAAGAATATTTAGAAATTTATTTTTTAAAAAAAATAAAAGGTATATATATACATATATATATATATATATAGGAGGGTTATAATAACACTAGTGTAACTTTTACTAACTATTACACTGTTTAATAACTTTATATTAAAAGTGAATTTTGTAAATCCAACCGTTAGATTGAAATTTCATATCACTTTATATGTGTATCAAATTTTGTTAAAATTGAACAACAAATTGAAGATAATCAAAGTATTTATATTTTAGTATATTTTGAAATAAATATATTATGCCAATTTTGTTTTATAAGAATGAAGTATCAAATCATCTTGAATTAATATAAAATTTTGTATATATGATCTAATAGTAAAAAACTTTCAATCTAACAGTTGAATTTACAAAATTTACATTTAATATAAAGTTATTGAACGGTGTAATACTTAGTAAAAGTTACACTAGTATTATTATAACTCTCCTCGTGTGTATATATATATATATATA